CTATATAATATCTCATGATAGTCACATGATTTGATGACTTTCTCTTACCCTGGCATATGATTCCGACTGATTCAATGGTGTCACAGTTTGTTGAACGAAACCCATCATTTAGGCAGCGACCAATGGTCGTGTCTATGTAGCTACGGCAACGCACAGTATCAAGATAAACTTGGAATTCGTCTTGAATGAAGACAAACTTCTCACTTGAAACTGCAACTGAAAAATAGAAATAAAAAATATTTAAAAATAAAAATTAAATAAATAAATAATTATTACTTCCATTATCATAGCTGAATCCTTGCTCAGTACACAACACTTGAACTTCATTCATTGAGAATTCATCATCACAGACAGTACCATAACTACCATTGTAATAGATCAGCAGTAATCCTAAATTGCTAGCGGACAGGAAACTCAATAAAGCCGTATCTCCATTAGCAGCTGCAGTAACATCTGGATCTATGAAATAAATAAAATAAAAATATTATAATATACACATAATTATAATAATTTCGCAAATAAACTGATTATTATACTGTCATTATATTGAAGTCTTACTACTGCAGAGTACTCCACTGTATTGATGTTCAGGACAATAAGTAATGGACTCAAAACTAGCACAATCAGTTATGATGTTAGCAGCTCCACCAGTACACTGAGAGGAGGTGAACTGGACAGCTGGTAAGGCAGAAGAAGTACCATTGGACCAGCCAAGATCCTTTAATATAACTAGAGAAACAGAGAGAGGAGAAAGAAAGAGAGCTAGAGTAATAGAAGAAGAGTTGTGATTATTTGATTTTTGCACATTCAGCCATTTTGTTATGATTCTAGTTTGTACATAAAAAATTACAGATTATAATGAACAATATACTATGTAGCCATTAAAAAAATATGCAAAAAATAATAGCAAATTAATAAGAATTACAAAATATGTACAAATACTTACTGCCAGCTCCTTTATAGTTGAGTGATCTACATACAATGGTGGCAGTGTCTACATTCCACCTGCTGTCAGTACCAGCACACAGTACAGACCAGGTGCCATTATAACAAACTGATACTAGTCCTTCATATTCTCTTGTACTCCCAAATAATGTTACACTACCTTCTGTACAGGTACCTGGAAACATGACAAATTGGTGATTTTGTGTAAAAAATTTGGTGAACCTGTTACTTCTGAGAAGGTTACAGCAGTCAATAAAATACAGCAGCTGAATATAGAAGCAAAGAAAGAGCTAGAGAAGGACATGTTGAGTCTGTTCAAGCATAGATAGTGATACTATGAATCTATGATGGATGATTCAAGCTAGGCGCTAGGCTTAGCTAGCTAAAGGATCATACAGTTGCAACTTGCAACTTGCAAGAGGTGTGGCTAAGCCTAAGTGATAAGGAAATTTCCTTAATTCCTTTACTCTTCAAACATTCATTATTAATAATGGACAAAAATAATAGATTATCAATAACAATAATTAAATACCATAAACTTATCATACACTTGGCTCAATATACTTTATCACGATAAGTTTACCAGTTATCTTGGCAAGAATATCTTTAATATCTTGCAACACATGCTCTTCAGGTTCCCAGTCCAAGACAAATGTTATTGTTTCACACTGAAGATGATGAGAGAGCCTCTCCTTCAGGCCAAAACTAACTGATAGAGATTTACAGGACTCTGTCAATGTTGTCCTGAAATTTTTAATGTAACCCTCAGCTTCAGTGACTTTAAATTCTTCAACTACAGCTTCTAACAGACTAATATTAGTCAATGAACACTCTCCCATAATCACACGAAATACACCAGATACATCAGAACAACTATCTAGCTTTGATTCTAAACCTCTGGATATGTAAAGCCGCAGGAGCTCCTTTAGGTCATCGAGAGGTGGAGGCTTTTGTCTGATAACTTTTAACACATTATACATCATAATAGCAAATGACGTTCTCAATAATTTGAAATTTTCCAATAGATTTTTTGGAACAGGAATTACAACTAAATAATTATAACAAATGACAAAATTAAATATTATCATTCAAAATTTACCTTGCTGATCATGAGAATCAGATGAAGCATCAGTAAGGCTAGTGTGATTTTTAACTGCATCAAAGTTAACATTTTCTTTTTTATC